GAAGATCTGTACCGACACGCGACGGGGACGGGATCTAAATGCAGCCAAGCCTTTTAGCATCGACTATCAATGCATATGCGGCTGCTAGGGGCGGATACTCGGAGTCCCAGCCTACTGGCACCGCCCGTACCAGCCCTCCTACACACGACCATGATCAGCACACCACAAATCGAAACCTGACACCTTCACCGTCAGCTTCATCAAGCACCAATCCGACCATAAAAAGAAAATGGCCAAGACCAAGGACAAGGATAGGTCAGCCAAAAACCAACCTTCTATCAAACCTCAGGCCCCGGTGGCTGCTGTAGTGCCACCTCCAAATTGGCCGCCATTCAAACCGGCTCTGCCTGTCGTGCAACTTACCCCAGAAGCGCCAGTTTCGGGGTTAGGAGACAAGATTATTCTCCTACGGAACTTCTGGCCTAAGACCCTCTGTCGAGATTACGTCAGTTTTCTCAAGACGCTGCCTCTAATCACCACACCAGGGCGGCCAAAACGTGGGGAAGCGGTGCGAGTCAACGATAGGTTCCAGGTAGACGATCATCGCTTTTCCCAAAGGCTTTGGCTTGACACCGGGCTAAAAGATGCCTTACTCGAAGACTCTCTCATAAACCTATGGTTAGTAGTTGGCAAGAGCCTCATTCTCTTTGATATATTCTCTTACACCCCTCAAACAGCGGTAGTAGATACGCGGCGCTAACAACCAGTGATAGGGGCGGTGATGTAGCGGGCTTGAACCCCAACATTCGAGTGTATCGCTACTCCAAAGGTCAATATTTCGACTGTCACTGTAGGTCTTCTCCACTTTGTCGCTTTACCTATTTGCACATGACTCCTTCGTGGCAGCGAACCCTGGAAAGTTCCGGGGTCCGCATAGCTGGGTCTTCTGCAACTCGTTTTTTCTCTTGCATACCTAGGTATGTAAATGAAACCCCGAGGACATGAGGGTTGCCGAGTAGGTAGATCTCTCTGGTGATCTCTGGTGTCTCAGCATGCCCTCCTGACCGACTTCCATGCATTCCTTGGTTCTAGCGCACGAGTCCCGCAGATTTGCAACTACATACAGAAGCCTATCTGATCCTAGAGGGGGAACCTGCTCGTTATCATTGGGGCAAATCGCAATTAACCTCTCGCGAATCCGACGCGTCGTCGAGGTCGTCCCACTTTGCGCAATAGAGGGGGGAAACATGTTCACTAATCCGCAAGCCTCAGATGACGACTCTAACTTGGTCGCCCTACCGGCCGCCGACGGGTCGCCCAATCCCGTCAGCACTAAAACGACCTGGACGCTACTGCTGTACTTGACGTCGTCTACTGAGGGCTGCATCGGTGGAGATACCGTTTTCTACCCTCACGACCGAAAGTCGTCCAAAGAAGAAATTGCCATCGCCCCTGAGACAGGTTTGCTTCTACTCCATAAGCATGGAGATGACTGCTTGTTCGTAAGTAAAACATCGTCTTGTTTCAATCTTCTCACACACTAATCGATCGATATCTAGCATGAGGGTCGAGAAGTGACGGCGGGAGAGAAATGGATCATTCGTACCGATCTCTGCGTGAAGAGGTAGCCTCGCCGTTTCTCAAGCCAGTCAACGCCTCTCGAATAGAATCATCTAAGTGACAGAAACTTGTCTTACCCGAGTCATTAGACTCTTATGTAACAGAATATTCTGCGATGATACTGACAAACTGAGATCTGATCAGATAAGGATGTTTTGTCCTAGTGGGAACTAGGTAGCATCCAGCCTCCACTCGGTGATCATCACAACAAAACGCCATGCTCGCCTCATGTAGCATGTCGGCGAATTCTACCATATACGGGGAATAAGCCATGCGGCCTCAATCTCCGCTCGGGCAAAATCTAGTCAATCAGACTAGCCTGGCTGCCTGGGCGCTTCTCCACCCCATGATTTTCCTAGAAGCCATTTTTCTTCAACGGGCTGGGAGAGGAGGTTGCATGCATGCATATCCTTCACGTCACTCGCATAGATGTACATGCAGGCAGAAGATACTTTTCACCTCTTGGTTTTTATCTTAGTCAAGAACCTATCTCTTCGATGCGGCTCTGGCTTCATCCCAGTAAAATCGTCCTCGTATAATGGGGGTGATGCCCCAACGGACTGTGGCTTGCCGCCGCGGGGAATCGTTCCACTTCGATAAACCGTTCCTCTCGCATGGTGCTGTGCTAATTCTACATCTACCCAACGTATGTCTTATCACAGTAATACGAGAAATCATTCAACGGACCGTCTCGCTCAATTTAGTCTTTCTTGCTTTGGCAAAAACCCCCAAGTTCTTTCTCTCTTCGGGAAGCTCGAAAATGGTGCCGGCCCCTCGGATTCATGCGGCTTTTTCCTTTCTTGACCGCCCTCTCTTCCCCGTTGCCATCCAAGAAGCTGGTGTGTGGGTCATTTTTACCACAGGGCGTGCAGGATCTGTATGCAGGTCTGGGATATTTTCTCCATTCCAGCAAGGCCTCGTATGACCATTCCTGCTGTGTGTGATCCGTTACTCAAGAAAAGCCTCCAAGTCAACGGCCTCTTTCGATCTTCTTCGGAGGTCGTGAAAATACAAGTAACTAGGTATATATGTCCAATCCGGGGCATGTAACTAAGACTTGCTTCTGTCATGCATATATGATATATCATATGACCGCCGTTGATCGTTGACGGCGCACTCCTGTACTATACTCAAGTCCAGTAGTTACGTCGCCAAGAAAGCCAAATGTGCATCTAGCAAAACGGCCATTGCTGCTTCGCAATTATGATCAAAACAAAACGACGATTAGTCAGCTCCTAACCCTTCTCTGTCCAAAGTAGCATGTTTCCTGTTATGAATACCATAGCAAGCACTCTTAGGCAGGAATATAACGTCCAAGCCAGTTTGTTCATATCATAACTATTTTCCTTGATAGCGAATTACCCGTCTAAGGCAGATAGTTGTACAAAAAGCTCACGGGAATATACTCATCCTGTGAGACCTCTTTACTAGGTTATCCATACTACCCAGTGGCATACACCTGAAGATTGATAGCATCAAAGTTTTACCGATCTCTTGTCAAGTTTGAAGATGTTAAGCTATACGCTTCGAGCCACTCCCATACTGGTGAAGGTAGGACAGGAGTCAAGTCACTGGTGTGTTAGAGCAATGTCACGTAGGAAAAACATGGCGGCGCCGCCATCGTGAGATGTACGGGTAGAGGTTGTGATACCTACCTGCCAATCCGCGCTCTCAACGTTAAACCTCTTTTACCTCAATAAATACCTCCCAGGGTACATTCCGACGCTTTTACGAACGCTCAGTAATTGCATATTGTCTCTCCGTCCTTCTCACTCATGCAATCAAGAGGGGATTGTCCATGCGGTATTGAGCAGCTCCAACCCGTTCTGCGAGGCCTTTATACCTGACCATCACCATCCTGGGATCGTCGGCAGAATTCTAGCAAGTGGCAGTGTAATTCGTACGAGGCATATCGTGTAGCCTACCTCATACAGCTGGACTGTACTATTCGCCAAGCTATTGTGGGGAGAAGAGATTATCACTAAATAACTACATAGTTCGCAAAGTCGTCTTAGGAGAAAACTAGAGGAAAGGAAAGCTTGGGCTGGCAATATTAAGGGGTTAGGAGTTATCCGAGGGACGAGCAAATAGTGAAAACGAGAAAGGGGGTTTCTTACGCAGATATAATTATAATACAACGAACAAGAAGCAAATCCCAGTAGCTTCTTAGTGCTACATTACGTGGAACACATATATAAAGTTCTTCAGGCTGTTCCAGCAGTTATCCAGAGAAAGACTGATCTAATACTTTAAAATATTTGGAAAATTTGGACTTAGAAGATTTAGAAATAAGGACCTAGGTAGGTATGTTTGTCACGAAAGGCAGTCCGACAATTATCCCAGTTCTTTCCTGGAAGTAGGCAACTTGACATGAGAATCCCACCTCACGCTAACGAAAGACATCTGACGCATGGGATGGACGGTTAACAGTGAGAGTGTCACTCTTGATGCCTCTTTCTGATCCCGTCACTTAGTATTATCAGACGGAAAGTACATAGATCGCAAGGCCGGCATTTCTTCTATATAAATTCATCTGCCCCCTTTCTATTCTCCCCTCCCTATCGCTTGATCTCTTCATCACGCAACTTTAAGCCATTATTCCATTATTTTCAGACAGACAGCAATCATGAAGTTCCTCCTCGCTCTCGTTATGGGCATGGCGGCTGCGGCGCCCATCATCGAGGATACTGCAAAGGTGTGTATAGTCACAGTACCTAGCGTCCGACATTCGAGAATGGTTACTAACGGCGGTGGTATAATTCAGATCGCCCTCACGGAGTTCCTAGGCCACGAGCCCGATGCCGAACCGAAGGGAATCTCGGAGGGCCTCGGGAAGGGAGTGCAGACCGGTCACTCGTCGGTCATTAACATCGATAAGGACAAAAGGACTGGCAAGAGACTTCACCAGGTACATCCCAAAAGCGCCAAATAAATCCCCTCATGTTCGGGCTTGCGAAACCAATTTGCTAACACCACCAGACCCCCGAGGCCACACCTGTGGCGTAGGAGGCACGGGCGAAGTACCGACTGCCGAAGTAGCCGATAACTTAAATTCGAATGTCTGGGACATGCCGGGGAACTGCTCCGTGGGCCCCGGCCCTGCGGTCTGCTCTCGACTGCAGTGCGACGGCGGTGCCGCGTTGTGGCTCTGCAATGACACTACGCAGCTACCATCGCCTACTGCCAAGAAGAACATAACGGATACAATACCACAGAGGCCAGTTTTTTATGAAAGATAACTTCAATGTCATCATCGGATCCGATCCCAGCTACTGAGTACGTGGGGCTGCGGGCTGCGGAGGTGCAATAGGGGGGGCAGGATGAAAGTCGTCGGTGGGAGCATTTATGAGTCGGAAGTTGAGGAAAGAGATAACTTCCGTTGGTTTTTCGGATCGTATGTGATAATAGAAAAGGGAAAAGGAAGAAAAAAAAGAGATACCTGCATCAGCCGCAAATCGAACGCAGGGCCCGTCGATGGCAAAGACAGATTTTACCACTAAACTACTGATGCATTCGTAGATTGAACTTGGGAAAGCCATTTAATACGATACTCCTTAACGGATTTAATATATCAAGGTGACAAAACCATCTCGAATATCGAATTAGCGAACCTATTATGAGGTCAACCAAGCGATAGGGTCAACAACTACCAAGAGCTACAAGCCTAACAGCCACCAGTTCATGTATACATACAAGATGAGAGGTCCAGCGCGAGGGCCTGAAGGGGGTATAATCCCTGTATCACTTCAGCAGGCCTATGGGTATTGCAGCCAACTTCCAGGGCCGAGATGCCTTGTGGAGGAAAGCTAGGGGCCAACAGGGCAGGTGCTTGACAGGACAATAGTGATAAAAAAAACTGTTACTGAATCATCTACCTGCGGCCTGAACGAGTAAAATGGTGAGCTATGTATCAGGTAACTACCTAGGTAGACATGAAACATTGGCCATTTGCACCCGTAACGACTATCGGAAGCATGTATACGTGATAAATGTATCTGCTGGCACGCGAGAAGAGAAAGGTGACGATACATGAATAACGAAAGTTACAGGACTTAAGATTGATGGGCGACTGGAAGAAAATGGTATTTGAAGATCCGACGATCCCTATCTTGTTTTCACTGACTAGGTACTATCTTTGTATTCTGATTAAGATGAACTGAGAATTTCATACGCAAACAAACATGTGACGCACAGGTTAACGGTGAGGGTGTTACTCTTGATGCTTCTTTCTAATCTCATCACCTAGTATTATCAGATGGAAAATCCCTGGACCACGGGGCCTGCTTTTGTATTTATATATTCCCCCCTTTTTACATCCTAGCTCCCTCCCCAACAATTGTCAAGTCTAGACATTTGATTATCATATAGATAGACAGCGAACATGAAATTCGTACTCGCTCTTATCATCGGCACGGCAGCCGCAGCGCCCAGCATCCAGAGTACTGCGGAGGTAAAGATCGACGTTTAAAATGCCCAGCATATGAGAATGACAGCTGACAAAAGTATGATATAACTAGCACGCCGCCGTAAAGTTCCTGGATCCCGAGCCGGGTGTCAATTGGGGGGTTTACCACTCGAACGGCGTCGGGAAGGGAGTGCAGACGGACCACTCGTCGGTCGCCAACATCGATGAGGATAAAGCCGTCGACAAGAGAGAATCCGTAAGCTAAAACACCGACCAAACCATGCGTTATCGGACCTATGGCGTTGGCTAACACCAAACCCCAGGATCCCCACCTGGTCTGCGACGTAGGAGGCACGCCCCCCGAAGGACCGCTCGTCGACGTGGTCAAGGAGCTGGGACCGATCATCGCCGGCATGGAAGGCAACTGCACGGTAGGCCCCGGCCCCGGAGTCTGCTCCCGAATCTACTGCAAAGACAGTGCTGCGGTGTGGATCTGCAACGACAATACGCACGCCATCGAACCGGAATGCTGCAGCTTGGCCTCCGAGGTCGAACGCATCGCCAACTTCTGCCCGCCGATGGACACAGGTAACGGGCGCAAATCGCAACGAGGCCAGTCGTTCATGGAAAAAAACATGAATATTATCGTCGGATCCGACCCAGGTTGCTGAAGCGGAACTGCGCAGGATCGGTAGGGGTGGCAGGATGGAGGTAGTTGAACGATTGTGAACGGGGAGTTAGGAATAGGATAATTTGCGCTGGTTTCTGCAATGGGCATTGTATTTTGGATCATTCTTGACATAGGAAATCAAAGTTATGGTTGATTTCATAACTTAGATTTTGCGTTCGGGCAATTGATTGAGACAACAAAGGTGATGACGGTGCTTTATGCGCATGAACTACCTATAATAGTATCGTCAAGGACGCGGTTTTAAATGATATGCTGAGCGGTACAACCATCATGTTGCTACTTACTCGACGAGTCTCGCATCTATAAGCAATTGTTCCTCCATACTATCACTCAGCGCCCACTTGAATTATCGGTTCATGTCCGATACGTGCAAGAGCACGACTTGCTGTGTCCAGCCGGGGTATCATCCATGCATCTCCAGTACTAGGGCTGCTAGACCACCGCGTAAGCCATACGTAGACTGTATTCTCGGCGCTCCAAGTAAAACTTACTTAGCCCTTTGTGTACTCCCTCGTTTAGTAACTTCCTACTACGACGAAGATGCCGTATCTCACCGTCTGGTAAGGACTAATAGGTCGTAGATCCTCCATTCCGAGGATTTCGAATCTCTACGCTTAAGCTGCGCTTACGCAATATGCTGATTCCTTTTTCTTTTACTAAGCCTCTGCTTTTTCCCTTCCTTGCTCTTCTTTTCCTTATTCGAGGGCTCCGCTGCCGCATCTGCGTTACCGTCACCAGACTCAGCACTGGGGTCACCGGACGGGCTCGACTCTTCAGCCTTGCGCTTGTCGCCGGTCTGGGCAGCCCTGATCGCTGCCTTGGCGCGCTCTTTACCAATCATCTCCGTCAGCTTGGCATTGACCTGCTTGTCTTTATTTTCTGACAGGTCGGCACGGATGAATCGAATGGCGGCTTCCTTGTTCAGACTCTGATCGGGTTTCTGCGGGGGGTTCTCGGCGTTCTTGATCTTGTCGAAGTATTGTCGTACCCGAGTCAGTTCTTTGAAGACGGGGTGTTCTTTCGCATCAACGCCGTGGAGTCGGAGAGAAGCTAGGAAAATAGTTAGAATTTCCGGATTGGCTTGAACTTCACGTGTTTCATGCTTACAGAATAATAGCGACTCGATGGAGTAGGTCGCGAGGACGTAGAGCTTCGCTTTGTCCAGTAAAGGTAGCTTGCTAGCCACATCCGAGATGTTACCAAGGATGGGCTGTAGGGCTTCCTCTAGAGCCTCGAGCTCATCGTCGAGTCGATCTAGCTGCGGCGTTATGTTTGCGGGATCCATAGTGTAGAGAAGAACTACTAGATAGCAGGGATGCGATAGATTGAATCAGTAGCTGATATTGGCGATTCTATCTAGATTGTCGCATTGGATTGTGAGTCCGGGGAATAGTAATAAACCTCAAAGAATTATGGCGGTGATTCATGGCAGAATGCAACTACCTAGGTAGCCAGGCCGTCTCGCGCCGGTGGGTCGGGACTCGGAGGTGGGTTATAGTGGGCCTTTCTTTAACCAATCGAAACGTCCTAATTTCCGACGGTAAGCCATATCTTAGCGCGGATCCCGGATACCCATCAAAGAAAAAATTAATGTCACCGTCATGAAAAGTTGACATCGCCGTACCCTTTCTAAAGGGCACCTCCTAGCACTGCCTTAATCGAATTCGAAGGTACTTACCTTGCCGGTGTCGCTCCAAATACTGCCACGATATCCTATTGTTTTCGTACCTAGATCCTTTTACCTCGGTTCCAATCTTCCTCGAATGAAAACGGATTGGCCGCATGCCCGACCTTGATCTCCCACCCACGAAACGCCCAAACCTCGCGATTCCAACCTCGTGCCAATCCAATGACGTGACACCAGTCAGATAACCACGTCAACTTTCCACCCTGTATTCTCATATTCCTCCCCGGCCGCTTTCGCGGGCTTTAGCGCGAATACCTAGCAGAGCCGCAGCATGGAATCGCGATAACCTCTTCGTGGGCCGGGGGGCCACCAAGCAACTGTCTGCCGTTGCTGCCACGACGGCGGGCGTATCGTCTCGGAACGATGGCTTTCGTCTTGATCCTCCAACCCCGAGTCCTTCCCACCAAGGCCCCCCCGAGAATACTTCGCCCGGTTATCCATTTTATAGGCCTCCGCCGGAATATCGACTAGTCGTACCGTATTTGGCGTCTGAAGAGCCCATTGTGAAATCTGCCCCGAACTCGGCAGAAGCGGCGGTCGAAACAGAAGTGAAGACGGAAGAAGACACCGCGGCACCAGCACCGACCGTCAAACTGTCTAATAAGATTCATATCGTGGGCTTCGACACACAGGCTAAATTCATCGCCCATGGTCTTGCCGCGGTTCCTAATATACCTCCTGCCCAAATTATTACGCACCATCCGATATCAATGACGAAATGGGGACAAGAGGGTAGGGCCATTGACGTTCTGGATTCCCGGGGGTATCTCATATCTTCTCGAAATATCCCTTGTCCGGAACTAATTCATACTATGCCCCGATTCCGGCTAAGGCGTTCGCCCATCATGGAGAACATCATCGTCAGCACGGCTCCCGGGGCTTTGTTAAAAACCCTTGCCAGACTTCGTCCATGTATCGATCGACGGACGACTGTGTGCTTGGTTCAGCCGGGACTTGGTCAGATGGAGCTGCTAAACGAACATGTTTTCGACGTGCCAGCGTTGAGGCCAAATTACATCCTCTGCAACAGCGAGCACCAGCTCTCGAAGCACTCTTCCTTCAAGTATAGCATACGGCACGTTCCCGGTCAGCTGCTAGTCCATGCCGTGCCTCGAAACGAAGACGCTGATCTGGACCGGAAGACGGCCGAGACACTGGGCGCCCGGCACACGCACCACATGATTCAACTCCTCTCCGCGGCCGGCGATCTCAACATGGTCAGCCTCCCCTGGCACATCTTCCTGCTGCAGAAGCTGCCCGATATGATCTACCAGTCGCTCGCCGACACCATCTCGGTGATCCTCGGGTGCCGGTTCAGCGAGATCCGACACAACGAGTACGCGATGGTGCTGTGGAAAAAAATGCTGACGGAGACGGTGCGCATCGTTGCGTCGCTGCCCGAGTTTCGCGACCACCCCTGGATCGTCGACAAGTTCTCACGGCCCTCGTTCCGCCGCAAGATGCGCATGCGGCTCGAGCGAAGCAGCGGCGGCATGAGTGTTGGCGGCGGCGGTTACAGCCGGTGGATCTCCATGGTCCGCAAGGGCCAGGTGCCGCCTGTCGACTACTTCAACGGCTACTTCGTGCGGCGCGCGCAGGAGACGGGCGTCAGCGCGACCCAGAATAGCCTGGCTGTGCACCTGGTAAAAGCCAGGCAGACCGGCAGGTATAGAGAACTCCAGCTCGAGCTTCCGCTGGGTCTGCAGCCGTACATGCAGGATGCGGATC